TTACAGGGTCTCTAATAATTTTTTAAAGTGGTTCTAAAGTCTAACAGTTTTTTTTTTACTTAATGCATTCCCTGCATTAATTAAAAATCAAAACAAAACAAAAACTCCCCACTAAACAACCCCCCCCCCCCACAATTTTCTTTCCCTCCACCATGTTTGGAAAATTACTTGATTCCCCCATCAACAGTCAGTGGCATCGTGTTCTATGGTGGGGAGCCTTCCGTGCAGAACACAATGATCAAGGCTGGCAACTAAAGCTACAGCAATGATTGCATGCACAAAATCTGACAGGCTGGTTATACTGAAGTTGAGCTGTCCCAGATGCAGCTCTTCTCCCTCCACTTCCTGGTCTCGCAGAGACGTTAATAAGCCACTGCTATGGAGAGATGTCTTTTAGGTCAATAGCTTTTGTTGGGAGTAATCGTCACCTTGCATATCAAAGACGTGCCTCACCTTGTTATTTCTTCCATTATTGTTTAAATTTGTATACCTGAAAATCTCAGTAGAAAGAAAACGTAAAAGAAAGCTATGCAGTCTGCAGCTAACTGTAGCTAGGCAGATTCCCCTTCCAACAAAACAACTGTTTGGAACAGACTTGCTATTTCCCATATAACTTACCAGATAGACTAAGGTTCACCATAAACAGTCTGAATGTACAATCTCTGTACAATCAACCTCAGATCTAATAAAACTACACTCCCTTAAAAAGTATTCATACCCCTTGAAATTTTCCACATTTTGTCATGTTACAACCAAAAACGCAAATGTATTTTATGTGACATACCAACACAAAGTGGCACATAATCAGAAGTGGAAGGAAAATGATAACTGGTTTTCAACATTTTTTACAAATAAAAAGTGAAAAAGTGTGGAATGCATTTGTATTCAACCCCCTTTACTCTGATATCCCTAACTAAAATCTAATGGAACTAATTGCCTTCAAAAGTCGCCTAACTAGTAAATAGAGTCCACCTGTGTGTAATGTAATCTCAGTATAAATACAGCAGTTCTGTGAAGCCCTCAGAGGTTTGTTATAGAACATTAGTGAACAAAGAGCATCATGAAGACAAAAAAACACACCAGACAGGTCGGGGATAAAGTTCTGGAGAAGTTTAAAGCAGGGTTAGGTTATACAAAATATCCCAAGCTCTGAACGTCTCAACGAGCACTGTTCAATCCATCATCTGAAAATGAAAAGAGTATGGCACAACTGCAAAAACCTAAAAAACCTACCAAGACATGACCATCCACGTAAACTGACAGGCTAGGCAAGGAGGGCATTAATCAGAGAAGCAGCCAAGAGGCCCATGGTAACTCTGGAGGAGCTGCAGAAATCCACAGCTCAGGTGGGAGAATCTGTCCACAGGACAATTAGTTGTGCACGCCACAAATCTGGCCTTTATGGAAGAGTGGCAGGAAGAAAGCCATTGTTGAAAGAAAGCCATAAGAAGTCCCATTTGCAGTTTGTGAGAAGCCATGTGGGGGACACGGCAAACATGTGGAAGAAGGTGCTCTGGTCAGATGACACCAAAAGTGAACTATTTGGCCTATCTAAAAAAGCAAAATGCTGTGTGTGGCACAAAATTAAACACTGCACATCACCCTGAACACACCATCCCCACTGGGAAATATGGTGGTGGTAGCATGTTATGGAGATGCTTTTCTTCAGTAGGGACAGGGAAGCTGGTCAGAGTTGATTGGAAGATGGATGGAGCCAAATACGGAGCAATCTTAGAAGAAAACCTGTTAGAGTCTTCAAAAGAATTGAGACTGGGGTGGAGGTTCGCCTTTCAGCAGGACAACGACCCTAAACATACAGCCAGAGCTACAATGGAATGGTTTAGGTCAAATCATATTCATGTGTTAGAATGGCCCAGTCAAAGTCCAGACCTAAATCCAACTGAGAATCTGTGGCAAGACTTGAAAATTGCTGTTCACACAGATGCTCTCCATCCAATCTGACAGAGCTTGAGCTATTTTGCAAAGAAGAATGGGAAAAAAATTTCACTCTCTAGATGCGCAAAGCTGGTAGAGACATCCCTAAAAAGACTTGCAGCTGTAATTGCAGCAAAAGAAGGTTCTACAAAGTATTGACTCAGGCTGGCTGAATAAAAAGGCATGCCACACTTTTCAGATATTTATTTGTAAACATTTTTGAAAATAATTTTATCATTTTCCTTCCACTTCAAAATTATGTGCCACTTTGACTTGGTCTATCACATAAAATCCCAATAAAATACATTTACATTTTTAGAAAAACAAAATAATCAGTGAGCACATAGTGATAGTATAGCAGCTAAAAGCACAAAAAGGCAACCAGAATAAAACCTCATAAAATATTTACAGAGTATAGCGCTGCACTTTCTCTTTAAGTATTTTATGAAGTTTTATTCTGGTTTAGCGCTGCACTTTCTCTTTAAACATTTACATTTTTGGTTGTAACATGACAAAATGTGGAAAATTTCAAGGGGTATGAATACTTTTTCAAGGCACTGCATGTAACTGCCCAAACTATCCAATCAATTAGTATGCAATCAGGCATGCCCTTTCAGTGCATACTTGGTGGATCTAAAGGAGATTGTACAATCAGACTGTAACATGTATGGTGAGCTTTAAGCTGTACATGTGTGATTAACATCTTTTTTCATTCTCATTGCAAAGTGGGAAGGATGAGTCAGGTTGCATAGAAATATACTCCCACTGCCTGTCTAATTAGATGTATTGATCATTTCCAAGCAAATAAACATACTATAACTTTGTTTAAAGACACTTTCACAAAGTTAGGTAAATCTTAATATATACGTAGGATAAGTGCGTGTAAATATAACTCACTTCCATGCCACTGCAATGCCACTTGTTTAAAATTAGACAGAAATGTTTATTTTTCTGCATTCTATATAACATCTACTATTTTTGCTCACAGGATTCAGGTAAAAGGTCTTAACCACTTCCCATCCTTCGGCAGTTTATAAATGGCCTAAAGTTTAAAGTTGTTATACTGGGACCATGGTTCAGGCTATACCCATGATCCCAGTATAAATTTTTACAGGTGATGATTCCCTATCAGGTAAAAGTGATCCAGGTATTTATACAGCCACTGGATCACTTCTACAGGCGGCGTTAGGGGGGTCCCCTCCCCAGCACTGCCTTTACCAGGCTCTATCGCCTGATCAGGGAGCCCAGTAAGAAGGAGACCAGTGGAGTTGGCTTTCCTGGACACAGTGAGAGAAACTTATGTTGTTCCTCCCATTGTGCGATGTCAGAAACAAGAAGCAAGGATGATTTAGTCATTTCTGGTTTCGGTCTCATGTAAACAAGCCGTTACCGCCTTGTGAAAGCATCTGATCAAACTGATCTCGATTTGGTCAAATGCTTTGGAGGCCAAAGGAGAGATCTGGGATCTAATAGAACTGTCAGAGCACAAGCTATCACAAGGGATGTTGTGATAAAACAAAGGTGCAGTGTAAGAAAAAAAAATGTTTAAAGCACCCCGCCCTCATGTGCAAAATGTGAACACGCACATAGGTCCTGCAAGCTAATGTAAACGTTGATTGCACCACACATTTGATGTACCGCCATGAACATCAGATCTTGCGAAATAATGTGTAACTTTAAACTGGTAACCTGTAAAGGCTTTTAAAGCATCGCCTATGGAGATTTTTTAAGTACTGTAGTTTGTTGCCATTCCACAGACATACGCAATTTTAAAGTGTGATATGTTAGGTATCTACTTACTCTAATTAGGAACACTCATATAAACAGACTGTTCTTATGTGAGCTGGTTGGATCATATGTGCAGGTTTGGCCATTCTCTGATGGCTTTAGGCTACGTTCACACTAGCCTTGTGTGCAGGCGGCAGAGAGGCGTTTGGTAAGCGTTTTTACCGCTTCCCAAACGCCTCTGCCAATTCTGCACATTACAGCACATGGTGCTGTTCTAATGGGAGCGTTTGCGTCGCGTCGCGGCAAAACGGACGCCTCTGGACAAGTCAGGAGGCTTTGAAGCCTCCTATTCTTGTCTATGGTGCCGCTCCGCAAACGCCCGGCCGGCGTTTGCGGTGCGGTTGCGGGGGGCGTTTGCGGAGCGGTAACACCACTCAAACTGCATTATAGGCGTTTGTGGGGCGTTATTAACGCTCGGCAAACGCCTAGCAACCGCCGCTAAACCGCGCATGCGGCGTTTGCGGAGCGTTTGCCGAGCGTTAATAACGCTCTGCAAACGCCGGACCAACGCTTGCCAAATGCTATAGGGGCGTTTGGCAAGCGTTGGCAAAACAGCCTAGTGTGAACGAGCCCTTAGACAAGTTTAGGGTCTTTGATTCTTGAGTACTATTGGTGATAAAAGTCTGAAAGGACATGAAGATATAAGAGCAGGCTGATTTCCTGATCCCAGGCCACACCTGTCTAGTACAGCTTTGTGCAAATGATACCTCAGGGCTTGCAAAGAACTACTCTTTCTGTATAGGTGATCCTTGTGATATGGTAGCTGTGACCCAATATATACATACATTTACTAGTCAATTCATGTAAACTGTTTAATGGCTAAGTTCACCTTTGTACTTTTAAAAACATTCTGTTTTAACATTTGGCGTAACTAAAATTTGTCATACCTGTAAGGCCAATGTGGCCTAGCCACAGCCTGGCTAAAAAACTACTTATAGGAGAGATCCACACTGTCCTGCCTGTGATCGGGGCATGCTCCCATCACTGGATGAGTGCTCCTCTTCTTTCAAGTTTTGTCTATGTGCAGTGTGCTATCCCTTCCCTGCTGCAACAGTGCTGAGCTCAGCCACTGTGGTGAAAGAAAAAAACTCTGCATGCGTGGGTCGTGAAACAGTGCTCATTCCAGTGATGCTGGGAGTGCACCCAATGAACAACGTACTGTATCCTAGATTTCAGGCAGGACAGTGCAAATATCTCCCATTAGTAGTTTTTCAGCCAAGCTATGGGCCTATAGACAGGGCTCTTAGAAAGTGTTACTAAACCCATAACAGTAAAATCAGTCTGTATATGCAGTAAAGTATGCTTGCTATACTCACTGTGGAACCAAAGGGGTTAAGCCTCTGCATTGTGTAAAAAGGCTGTTTGAACCTGACTTCTCTGATCCTCCCCTTCTTCCACTGTCCCCCTCTTATCTCCTGATAAGACATATCGTGTGGAGTCACTCTGCACATGCTCAGTTTGGTGTGTATTGCTAGAGGTTTTTTTTTTTCCTGAGAGTGCATGTGATCAGCACAGGGCTAAGGAGCACTGTCCAGACGGAGGTCAGGGGTCCTGCATCTTACCAGAACAAAATTGAAACTCCTCCTACAAGCTTTAACCAATGCTTGGCTGGACACTAATACAAGTCACAAGACTGCTATATACTGCTGATGAGAAAATGTATTTAGCAGTTTATATTTAATAAAATAATTGCACTTCCATGTTCTGTGTACTGTGGGAGACCAGATAGTGAGTCCTGGGTTTAGTAACACTTTGAATCAAACTCAAAAATTAAAGCTACACAGCATTTTAAAAATTATTGGGCCCCTTCCCTTAATAGTGCATTTTATTACAAAGGTGAACTTAGCCTTTAGGGTTATAACATAGTATCAAATCTGATGTAAAACATACCTGTATAGGTAACATAAGTTATAACCAGCTATATCAAATTGTTTAGACAACACTTGCACCTATTTACCCTCGGTTCACACTATTGTGGGCCGTGCGGGCTGTATTTGCTTAGGCACAGCAGCCTGGTCATTTGAATGGGCTGCTATGCGCATGTTTCCACACAAAAAAGTAGCTGCAGGGAAACCTCATGGCCTTTTTTCCCTGCGGCTCCCAAACCCAGAATCTGAGATGCCATTCAGAATGAATGGCAGCCCTGTGTGTCAGGTAACGGGAGCGCGATTCGGATATGGGTGGTTGTGGGTGCGGGAACAGATGTGATAACCAAGGGTTAAGGAGCACTGACAGTAACTATACCCACTTCAAAGGACAACTGTACCCATAGCTCCCAACTGTCACTCATTTGGCCTTTTTTTAAGACCAAATCCCTCTGTCCCTCGTGCAGCCTCAGTTGACCTTTTTTTTGGTCTGACGTGTACACCTCTTTACAGAATGTACTATTTTACTACTGAAAGTGTTATGCTGTACTGAACTTTTTATCCATCCTCTAAATTACTGCAATTTGTTATTTTTTTTTAAAAGTCAAATTAAAGTAAAAGTATAGGTGAAAAAAATCACTTGTGCCATTTAGCCAATCATTTTCTGCATATTAGATATATATCTAGTCTGTGTAATCAGGGCCGTGGCGGGGATGTGATCTTTGCCTACATACTGTGCCCTACAAAGTGTCCCTCTTTATCATTTCAGAAAGTTGGGAGGTAGGACTACCGTTGGTAGAAGTTGTCCTTTAATCCATGATCCCATCCTACAAATGCATCCCACCTGAAGAACTACTTACCTTTATCCTCAATCCAGGGATCTTCATTGTACTGCCTTCATTGTATTGAATTGTTGCCTAATTTGAATTATTTATGATTAATTACAATAAAAAAAACTAACAAATCCAGAATTCCCTCATACATACTGTACTAATACCTTTATGGTAGGGAGCTCAACACTGTCCAAGGAAGCCATTGCACTTATTATGTCTGCCTCCCAAAAATAGATATAATGCAGCTTTCACTTTAAGGTTTAGTTATTGTTTTTGTTGTTTATAAGCTGCTGTCACATGTTTGCCAATGGCAGAACTGGTTTTGTAATGTGATCTTGCTACAAGGAGGAAAATATTTCCAGAGCGCATAGATCAACCAGTTTTACAAGAATTGTTGTCTGATGACCGATTAGAGCCTCTCTCATTGCTGTAGCTGTGCATTTCCATCTCTGAAAAAGAAGCAACAAAAAGAAGCAGCTTTGCCTCTGTGTCACTACTGATCTTATTAGAAAATTAAATATAAATATAATAGTGGTGTATTTGTATGGAATGTAATATTATACAAGCTGAGAAAGTGTAAGGCAAATCAAAATGTTTTCTTATGCTTTTAATAAGATAAAATGTAACTTCGCCTTTTCCACCCATGTGCTCTGTAATGCTATTCATTCTTGTGGGCACCCGAATACAAGCTCATACTTGAAAGTCCACAGAAATTAATGGAATTACACAGTGCATGCGCTGGCCTATCGGGGAAGATTTTTGATAAGCGGCCAGGTGGTCAAGTCAGGGATTTCCACCTGGATCAGGAGGAAATGAGAATAAAACTGGGAGAGGGACCTGGGTGCCCTGATATAAAGAAAACTGCATTAAACTGTGGCTGTATGTATGCGCTGTGAAGGGAGTGGTGCTGTGTTGTAATGAAGCATAGTGCTATTTACTTTTTTTCTTTTCAACTTTAACTTTTCCTTTTTATTTATTGATTTAATATTCACAAAATAAAATTTTATTCACCTTTATGTACTGCAGTACACTGTGATGCTGTTTAACGAGTCACAAAAAGTAGAGTATTTAGAAACATAAAAAAGTGACGGCAGAAAGAGACCGAGTGATCCATCGAGTCTGCCCGTTTTTTTGTGTATGTTTTTGTGGGGTGGGTTGTTTTTGTTAACTTTTTTGTCTGAGTATAGATCTATGCATGTCCCAAGCCATTTACTACTGACTGGCTCACTACCTATTTACCTACACTAGTGAACTCATAGGATTCAAGGCAAATTGCCTTCTCTATGCATTGGGATTGATTAGAGCAGGGCTGTCCAATGTATATGGTTTGGGCCCACCCACTTTAACCACCTCCCGCCCGCCATATAGTAATATGACGGAAGCAAGGTGGTTCTCTCGTTCTGGGAGGACGTCATATGATGTCCTCCCATTCTCACCGCGCATGCACGGCTTAGGGAGCGCGCAGCGCGGCGATGCTCTGTGTACCTCGGACACAGCGGATCACCGATCATGGAAAGAGCCGAAGATGTCGGCTCGGTCATGTGATCAGCTGTCTCCAATCACAGCTGATCACATGTAAACAGGGAAATGCCAGTTATCGGCATTTCTCTCCTCTCGAGCTGTCAGGCTGACAGCTCGTGTGGAGAGGAGAGCCGGTAATCGGCTTTCCGCGGAGGGGACATGTACACTGATCATCAGGGCACTGATGATCAGTGTGCCCTGATGATCAGTGTAGTCCCAGCAGTGCCACCTGTCAGTGTCCATCAGTGCCTTGTATCAGTGCTCATTAGTGCCTCGTGCCAGTGCCCATCAGTGCCACATCAATGCCACATATCAGTGCCCATCTGAGCTTCCTTTCAGTGTCACCCATCACTGCCAGTCAGTGCCACCTATCAATGCCAATCAGTGCCACCATTCAGTGCCAGTCAGTGCCGCCTATCAGTACGCATCAGTGCCGCCTATCAGTGCGCATCAGTGCCAGTCAGTGCCACCTATCAGTGCTGCCTTTCAGTTCCCATCAGTGATGCCTGTCAATGCCCATCAGTGCCACCTACCAGTGCCTCCTCATCAGTGCCCATCAGTGCCACCTATCAGTGCCCATCAGTGCAGCCTCATTAGCGCACATCAGTGAGGGAGAAAAATCACTTATTTACAAAATGTTATAACAAAAACTAAGAAAAAATTATTTTTTTCAAAATTTTCAGTGGTTTTTGGTTTGTTTAAGAAAAAAATAAAAAACCGCCAAGGTGATTAAATACCACCAAAATAAAGCTCTATCTGTCACAAAAAAATTATAATAATTTCATATAGGTACAGTGTTGCATGACCGCGCAATTCTCACTCAAAGTTCAACAGCGCTGAAAGCTGAAAATTGGCCTGGGCAGGAAGGGAGTATAAGTGCCCAGTAGGCTTGTGGTTAAAGTGTTACTAAACCCACAACAGTAAAATCAGTCTGTATGTGCAGTAAAGCATGCTTGTTATACTCACTGTGAAACCTAAGGGGTTAAACTTTTGCATTGTGTAAAAGGCTGTTTGATCTAGACTTCTCTGATCCTCCCTTTCTTCCACTGCCCTACTTATCGCCTGATAAGACATATTGTGTGGAGACACTCTGCACATGTTCAGTTTGGTGTGTATTGCTAGAGTTTTTTTTTTTTTTACTTGGGAGAGTGCATGTGATCAGCACAGGGCCAATCAGCACTGTCCAGACAGAGGTCAGGGGTTCTACATCCTCCTAGAGCAGAAAGAAAACTCCCCTTATAAGCTTTAACATGTGCTCTGCAGAACACAAATAGAAGCCACAAGACTGCTCTAACTGCTGATGGGGAAAAGGTATTTAGCAGTTTATATTTGCTTAAATAATTGCATTTCCATGTTGCGTATACTGTGGGAGACCAGATATAGTGAATTCAGGGTCATGGGTTTAGTAACACTTTAAGACCTTGTTCAAGAACTTAAACCAAGCAGCTGAGCAGCGGTCTTACTGTTCCCTGCCTGAAAACTGAAATTCAGCCCCCCACGGCTGCACACACTGTGTGGACATGATGCTAAGCTCCATGGCAAAAACTTAAACAGCCTGTTGCATTTGGTGAGCATTACTACTGCCAAAATGACCAATGTAGGTTTATAGGGCCACCACTGCGTGCAATGCATGCTACTGTGGAGTGCTACTGCAGCATTTACAGGGTTAGTTCATGGTATGAGCAGGCAAAATATCACCTCCTCACCACCTGTCATGTGCCCTCTGAAATACTCTTCAGAGGGCATCATGCGTGTGAACGAGCCCTAAAGTAATATAAAATACACATGCTGCTCACTGTTGGTAAAAAAAATCTCAGTGTAAACACTTCTAGTCTGGCCACATAGTCACACATCTCTGGCTCTTCTGTGTAGCTCCACAAGCTCAACAATGGGGCTGAACATTGAGTATCTGCCAGCTGTCAATGCTGTATCCATTATCAGTGTTCCTTCCCACCAAGATGACTTCCTGTACATTCAAAGAGATAAGAAAGTGATTAGAATCACTCCAGTGTGGGCCTAAACAATGATAAACATACTTTATTTTAGCAGTATGTGAGGGCTAAAAAAAAAAAAAAAAGTTAAAAAAGTAAAAACCTCCCAGAGGATCTAACCCTACCCACTCTAGCAAAAGAATATAATTTGCTTTGAGTTCTTCTTTAACCTCTTGCTATCCTTGTAACACACATTTAAAGCAGCAAAAAGGGTCTATGGAGGACTGAGGTTTCTGTTCTGAGAGTGTGCATACTGTGCAATGCCAGCACGGTGGCCAAGCTGTCAAAAAGAGCTCTTGGTCTCTTGTAATGATCAAGAACTAGAAGGATGGGCTCCCGATCACATGACCACTGTGACAGTCCATCACAGTGTCCAAGTGATCATGCAGTCCTTCCCACCCTCCAGATGTAAAGAACCAAATAAAGGGATGGTGGGAAGGAGTTAAGAAAATTTTGCTTGTCAAAGTATTGTCACAGTAGTCCCTATTCTTTTTGGTACTGTAAACTTTGTAAAATACACGTCCTTTTATCAAGGTTTCTTTTTAATTATTAAAAATGTATTATTTAATACATTTCAAACAACTCATGGACTAGGTACATTAGATGTTCACCTGGACAGTTTACTGAAAACTGACAGCTCAGTATCAGCTGGAAGATAAAATCACATGTTACTAATGTCTCCAGGAGACTCCGGTTGTGAGATCCTTGTTCTAGGCTTCTCTGGTCTGTATACATGTCACAGCAATTACAAACACTATTCTCCCTGTTGTATTTAGTTTTCTTGTAGGTTATTTTATTGGTGATGCAAGAGGAAGATAAAGGAAAATTCTTGTTTTAGTAGGAGATGTCAAGTGAGAGGTGGGTAGAAGAACAAGGAATCAGGAAGAGGAGATTCTGCCACTGAACTCACCAAGAGGTATAAAAAAATACTGGGTTAGGCCTTCCAAAACCACCCTATAGCAGAAATATTGCTACAGGGCGGCACGGGTGTACAAAATCACATATATACGCATGATTTTGTAGTTTCGGGTAGGGGGCTTGTGCGTGCCCTACCATGCTGCCATTCGTGGCCTCGGATGTCAATCACTGGGTCCCGGCTGGTGATTTCTTGCCAGCAGCCAGTGATCGCTGAGTATCTCTGATGGGGGAATAGACCTGTGTATAAACAACACAGATCTCTCCCTGGTGAATATAATTGCACATTGAAATTGATCTATCCTCAACCTCGATCACTCTTCAGAGGTGTGAGGGTCTTCAGAGGGCTCATAGATAATGCATGCAATTTTAGGTTAATTTGACCATATATCACTTTTTTTATATATGTATTTATGATTACTGTACTCACTCAGTTTATTCAATTGATTTTTTTTCACATTTTGATCACCCTTCAGAGGGGTGATAATCTTCATAGGGCATATATATGCACTTATTTAGTTTAATTACAATAGTGTTTTATTTTTTGATCGCTTTTAAGAGGTGTGTAGGTCTTCATAGTGCTCACAAAGTTATAAGGGTTCACCTAGCGCAGTATCTATTTGAATTAGCCTTTTAAGAGATGATATGCTCTTATATACTTGCAGCTTTGTGACTTCAATCGATTAGGGATTTGTGCAGGTTGATCTTACATACATAATGCACATGGTTGCAGCATGCTTTTGTGGGGCTCAAGAAGTTAACGCAGGCAGAGCGGAGGCGATACAACATCTCCCCAAGGCCTGGAAAATGCCCTCTGATCTGAATACAGAACACTTCAGAGATCATTGCTAGTGTAAACAAGGCCTGTAGGCTCAGCAACGTACATGTGAGTCGCCGCCTGCTTCTGTGTTTTCAGGCGCGCTTGCGCCTCGCCCCGCTGCCAACCCGTGCTGTTACTGGACACAACACAAGTTTGTCAGCAGTTTTTCAGCCAAAGATTTTGTCCAATCACAGCAGAGTTCTGTGTTTATAAATACACAGAACTCTGTGTACAAAGAACAGCGATCTGGCTGTTTCCTCTCCCTAAAGAGCAGGGAGAAAAAACAGCCAGATCTGTGAGTAAAAGCAGCACATATTACACATTAGTCACACAGTTAAACCTTGATGTTAACCCCTTTCCACCCAGTGTCATTAGTACAGTATACAGTATTATATCTGATCACTGTATTAGTATCACTAGCAATGTTAGTGTCCCTCCCAGCCAGTGTCTGTTAGCACCAGATTGCTCTCCACACTATCATAGTCATACTATAAGTTCATGTGGAGCAGACATGGACCTGTCATGTACTTTCTCAGCAGGGATCAGTGGGCAGAATCCCCACTGAGCAAGAGGATCCGCCTACGGGTCTGCTCAGTGTGAAAAAGGGTCTTAGAGCTTATCACCTAAACCTAATTACAGCAAACAATAAAATACATGTAACAGAAAATACATTTTCTCACCCCCAACCCCCCCCCCCCCCCCCCCCCCGCACATAGTTCCACTATGCACAGTATGCCAAGGAGTCCAAGAAACAGTCCCTCCATAATTTCATGGAAAGGGTAGCTGGTATAATTTACAGACAGCCAGCTACCCAGGGAAGTGATACAACCCTCTTGGGGAAAAGGTTCCTTTTAACACCGGGGGGGGGGGGTCTGCTTAGTCCTGGGTCCATAGTCAAAGGGAAGGAGGCTGGCCTCCAGGCGCCCAAGTCACTCAAGTCACTGTGGTTTCCGTGACAGGTATCAGTGGGAGGAATAGTGCCCCATCGTTGGTGTCAGTGGGAGGAATAGTGCCCAATCATTCAAATCAGTGGGAGGAATAGTGCCCCATCGTTGGTGTCAGTGGGAGGAATAGTGCCCAATCATTCAAATCAGTGGGTGGAATAGTGCCCCACTGTTGGTGTCAGTGGAATAGTGTTCCACCACTGATGTCACTGGGAGGAATAGTGCTCCACCATGTGTATCAGTGGGAGGAAAAGTGCTGCATTACTAGTATCAGTGGGAGGAATAGTGCCCTGTCATTAGTGTCAATGGGAGGAATAGTGCCACACCATTGGTGTCAGCGGGAAGAATAGTGCCTCACTATTGATGTCAGTGGAAGAAATAGTGCCCCATCATTGGTAACAGTAGAAGGAATAGTTCCCCAGTGTTAATATTAGTGGGTGGAATAGTGTCCCATCATTGCCCCTCCAGGAGCCCAAGTCACTCAAGTCACTGTGGTTTCCGTGACAGGTATCAGTGGAAGGAATATTACCCTGTTGTTAGTGTCAATAGTGCCCCTTCGTTGGCATCAAAGGGAGCAATAGTGCCCCGTCATTGGTGTCAATGGGATGAATAGTGCACTATTGTTGGTGTCGATGGGAGAATTTTGCTAAAGTGGAGGAATGGTGCCTTATTGCTGGTATCAGTGGGAAGAATAGTGCCCCGAGGGTCAGATAAAGGCAAGCAAAAGGCCGCAGTTTTGGAGCCATCATCTAGACATAGAATGTTTAAAGAAATTATAAAGTTCTTTAGTAACTTCAAGAGGGGAAGGAAGTTGTTCTTCCAGCATTTGTTATTCGTAAAACTCTTGGATGGGGATCCAAGTGAACACAATATACAGGGATATGAGTTTTTGACATGAGCACACACACACCAACACAGGTTGAACTGGATTGACTTGTGTCTTTATTCAACCATACCAACTATGTAACTAATTTGTAAATTGGGCAGGTTCCTCTCTAACCTTTGCCATATGGGTCAACAGAGAGTCTGTTGTTTACTCAAACTGGAAATAATCACATTTGATAAAATCACTTTACTTTTTTTTTTGTATTTCAGTTTGATGTGGTGACTGCATTCGGTTTTTTAAAAATCTTTTTTACCTTTATTTTCACCTGGTGATCCTGCCAGTAAAGCCAGGTACAAAACTGGAAGAAAAATTCTGTATGAGGAGAGATTGGTCCATTGTCTGTTCATTAGTATAGTGCTTTTGACAACCGATTCCAACTGTTCGGATGAAAAAAAACAAGAAGGTTTATCGTACGTGAACACAATGTCCGATTTTTGCTCCATGTGTGCAGTAATCACATGGAAATAATAGAATATAAAAAAAAACACGCATGATCAGAAGCAAAGAACGATCTGGAAGAAATTGGCAATGAACACAGAAAT